GAGACAGCTTTGGGCTAGCTCCCAAAAAACCACCAAACAGGGGAGCCGTCCTGAACAATAGTTTTTTCCCACATTTATACATTTTGGTTTATGCTCATTAACATTTATTCTACCTTCACTCCTCCTATGTACCACCCATTTCTCCTCCCATCTCAAGCTCCTCCCCTGTTTACTGTTTGCTTCATTAGCATGGGATTGCCTATGCATTTTACTTATTTACATGTCTTTTTGCTATGATCACATATCTAAGACCTTGACTTCTCTTCTTCAGTCAATGGGCGGACTTTGACCAAAACCTGGAAGCTTCCAGAGGCTTCTTCACTAATCACCATTCACCCTTTTGCATATTTTCATCTCGGATTCTGTTACCAATTACGTGTTGTTTTTCTACATTCCAGTCTGTTTTTCTGCCTCATGTTGCACCATCTTCTACATTCCTAAAATGTGACCTCATTCACAGCACACAGACTCCTACATTCACTTGCTGCTTTTTCCTCAGAAAATGGTCGACACAGTTAAGATGGTTACTTAGCATAAGCAAATGGCTGGCTTAGCTATCATTCTACCTTGTGGTCAGCAGCTCTGCTAGGCCACAGGTCATGCCTTTATTCAGCTGCAAATCCAATGCTCCCTGAAAAATCCAAATATTGTCACTCTAACAGAAAGGTCGTGGTTGGTCTGAGGGTTGTGGTCAGTCTGAGGGTGGGTCCCCATGGATCAATGCATCTGAGTCCTAAAACGAGAGCCAATACCCCCTTATCTCTCCCTCTGGAGTACTTAGTGCACAGGACTTGTGGCCTGTTCACCCTTAGTTATGGAGCTGGTTATCTGAGACCTCGGTTTGTGGCTTGTTTACTGTTTTACAGAAATATGAGCATAGGAAGTTTCATTTGATGTTTAGTGAAGAAACACTTAGTATCATATCATAACTATATCTTCCATCCTATAAACATTTACGTACAGCGTGTAGCTATTTTTACTCCTGTGACTAGCTCCATTGCCTTCATTGGAATGAAGCTTCCACTGTTAGTTTGACAGACCTGGAAGATATCTTTGCATCTGATTTTACTTCTTATTCCTTGATAAAGTAAAAGGTTCTCTTACCTTACTTAACACTGTCTGGAGATACTCCTTGCCTAAAAAGTCCTAACTTTACTACTATACAATACACCTTAGCACATGATTTACTGCTTGAACATGTAGATGCTCCTGTTTTAAGTGCAGTATAATGTGAGACAAGGCTTTTACTGACCTTGCCCCAAAGTAAGGAGTGGTGTAGAATGACATGCAGGAAAAACATCCTATTATGGGGACAACATATTATTTCTCCCTGGCTGGCCAGGCCAGTGCATAGGGGTCAGATATTGTTCCACGATCACTTTGGTTTTTGGAGATGCCATATGTCTTTTAGTTAGAAGGATTTTTATCTAGATCAGGCAAGGGTCAATAGGAAGCTAGAGGCTTCTTGGGCACTGTGTGCAGGCCAGACAAAAGCTGATCTTTAGTATTACACTTAATATTCAATCAAAGTTCCCACTAAGGTGTGTGTGTGAGCGGCCATGCACAATTTAAAATCTTGCCACACACTAACTTATTAATGCCATGAACCCACCCAGAGAGGAACTGGGCAGCGGCTTCTCAGAGAGGAGCTGGATGCAGAGCGCAGTGGAGGCACTGGGGCTGGTGTGGGACACTTACTGGAGGTAATCTTAGGCAGTGGCTCCTCCCTGAAGCAAGGTGGGGGCTGGGGCAGAGTGCCTCCTCACTATGTGCCTCCTCGCTCCCCAAGGTGAGGTGGGGATGGAGGCTGGGGCTTGGGGCTGGCACCGGGGAACTGCTCCAGTACCAATGCCATGTGCCTCCTTGCTCCCCGAGGCAAGGCGAGGCAAGGTGGGGGCAGGGTCTGGGGGCTGATGCCAGGGAACTGCTCCGCTGACTCCAAGGAACTGCTCCACTCCCCAGCCCTGATGCCATATGCTTCCTTGTTCCCCAAGGTGAAGCAGGGGCTGGGGGCTGGTGTGGGCTCTGCCTGCAGCACTGGAGCTGCCCTGTCTGGAAGCTGTACACAATGATTGGGGCCAGGGACCTCCTGCTGGTGAGTGTGGCAGCGTATCACACTGTCCTGGGGGGAACAGACTGGGCTCAGCCCCATGTGGATTGTAGCAGGGACAGCTGCAGGGCAGGCCAGATGCAATTCATTGGACTCCTGACTGTGGGCTGGATTAATTTGCCTGGCAGGTTGGATTTGGCCTGCAGGGTGTATTTTGCCCACCCCGAGATAGGACTTGGGGTTCCCGTCTTTGTGTGTAGACTCCTATTGACTTCTATAACAGCTCTTGAAAGAATCTTACATGACTGATAGCTTGTCAGTATGAAATAACTGCAGTTCCCCATAAATACATTACCTTGTAATAGCTTAGCTAACTCTAATTCTTATTCTTGCAGCCTGGAGTTCTAGGATATTTTGAGTTCAATGCTTTACCTTCCAATGTGCTCCCCAGCTCCTTTGGGCTCCAGGCCCCTGACCCTGTTCCATATGTCATCTCAGTCCCTTGGGTCCCTGGATCCTCTCCATCCATCCCGGTCCCCTGGGGTCCCTGACCCCAGACAAAGCTGATCACCCTCCACTACAGTCCCAGTGTCCCTGACCATTATAGGGCTCTATCCAGGCACCTGTGATGTCCGAAGTGGTGCACACTGAAAGGGGGAGGCGGAACCAAAGTGGCGTGCTCATGGACCAAAGCGGCATGCTCATGGACTGAGGCAGCGCACTCACAGATCGCTACATCTTAGAGGGAACATTGTATTCAATGTGTGCATGTTTCGGGGAGGAGGCAGCAATTTGTAATATACTTTTTTCTGTATTTTTAATATTTGGAGCCAAATCCAATTTTAGCTTTTTGTGCATAAGAAACACTTACATAGCCATGCGTGTGATATTTTTGGCATCTATGCAGAGTTTAGAATCTATTTGCATTTGTGTGGCTGCCCTTCTTTTGTCACTTGACCACTGGACCAAGTGCAGAAGATCCTGTATTTTCTTGTAAGCAACACATATCTTTTCCCCGCAAAATCAGTACCCTCACAAATTGGGGTGCATGTCTTAAATGAAGAAGCAGATTTTCTGCCTGGTATAGCAGTGCTTTGCTTTGATTCTGGTTTCACGGTGCAGCAGGTGTTGAATTACTATTCAGGTAGCTGAGGGAGTGAATTGGCTTAATGGTTCATTGCTCTTCACTCCAGATGTGTTAATGATCATCTTTTTAATGGTCTTGATGTTCCACTAATCAAACTATAATTTCTCAGGGCAAATTTTTTGTCTAGTAGGTGCTCCTGGTCTCTCTCCTCCTATTTCACAGCCTTGGAGAGGCTTTCACTCTTTTCAAAATCATAGATCTACCCATGGAGACCAGGATTTGGGAGAAGTTACAGTTCTAGCTTTAGTTAAGCAGGAAAGAGAGGATGAGTCCGTTGAATATTTGAAGATTAAGCGCTGTCCGTGCTCTGTGTAGTTGTAACTGTGGAAAAAAAATATTCTTCATTTCAAGAACAAGGGTGTGTATTATATTTTGGGGTATGTTGCATGCGAGAAAATATGGTATAGGAGGCCAAGAAGGGGGCATAAACCAGAGGAAGAGAGATTCTGTACTTGAAAGGAAAAGTCCCTGCATTCTGTTCCCCGGCCTCTACTCCTGCCTTCTTGTTTCCTTAATGGTGTTTCTGTACCTTGCATAGAAAGTGCTGTAGGTACTGCTTAACCTGTGGCCTATTAATTCGGGCACTTTCTGAAGTTGGGGAAGTATTCAGCATGAAGGGGGAAGAGATGAGATGTGGGTCTTTCACATTCTTAGCAAGTTCCCTAACCACTAGCTGAAAGTGGAGATGCTGTTCCCCTTTCGAGTACTTATGCACATACTTGGTTGATCATATTTCACCACAGGTAGAAACACAATCTAAACTTTGCATAAGTCCCAGAATGGCACATGAGCAGCTACTTAGGTATGTAAAATTGAAATAGAATTTGGACTTTAATATAAATATTGGTAATTTTGTTGAATTTATTATTGTTTCCTAAAGTTTTTTAAGGTACGCTTGCATAGATGTGTAATAAAAATGTTAGGCCACAAAAGTTTCATTTCATTGCTTTAACCCATGAACTAACATTACATCCATTTAAATTTAAATCAAAATGGGGACTGTGTCACACACTACAGCTCTCTAGAAAGCTACAGCAGGAGTCTAGCAGTCCAAATCATTCTTTTGTAGAAAACACTAAGGCTAATAGTCTTGCTGGGAGTAAAATGTGTATTTTTTTTCAGAACAGTTCCAAGCACAGACTTTGCTCTTTGCTAGAAAATATAAAAGAAAACAAATGCTCACTGTGTCTTTAGTTTGCTAAAAATGAACTCCTTATACAACAAAATGTTAGTGGTAACCATAATCATGTTTTCCTTTCATCACCTACTGAACATAATTTTAAGAGAGAACCAGTGTAATTATATTCAGATTAAAGGGAGCAGAATTTCTGGATAATATTATACTTGGCCTGATTGCATTGTCAATAAAAGAAATAAAAAGAGACTTCATGAATACTTATTTAATGAGCAACATATTTATTAAGTAGGGCATACTGTACAGAAAGCATTTTACTGTGCATGCAATGCATTAGGCTTATCTATTTTTTCCAAGCATATTTCTTAATATTTTACTGCAGCTATTACATTCTCTTTGTATTGGTCCAGCTATTCAATTAGTTGGGTGTAGTATCTCTATAACCACAATGCTAAAGCATTAAGTTAAACTACAATCACTCGGACAGGAACAGTCAACATCGGCATCCACTGACTCCACAACTTCCTCAGATGCAGAGCTCTTGTCACTATTACGTTCCCATTCAGACAGGCTTGGAGCAGTATCTGTCAGAAGAGCATAGCCACTGTTAACTAATATCAAGCAAATGAACACATTTCAAAACAATATTGTTTTGATGGCTGCTGACTGTTTCATGAAGTAAAGAATATGGGGTTGAATCCTATCTGCATGACTGACATCATGCTGACCCATTGACTTGTAGCAGGATTTTCATCCTTGGTACAATTATTATAATACCTGCCTAAAACAAAATTAATTGCATTTCATATGCACAAATACAGCAGGCAGGAGCTGGAAGACATACTGGAGACAGCCAGTCTTCAAAATAGGACCACGGTGTGCATATACACATCAGCAATCCCCTTTCAGGTTCTCACTGCATATTGGGGGATATTTCAGTTCTCTATTTGTTTAAGTTCATTCTAAAGGATAAGCTCTTTGGAGAATTTTCAGAGGTTCATAAACTTCTAATTAAAGTTTTCTGTATATACTCAAATCTGGCAGAGCATTGTCAGTTTCAGTATTAACCTTACCACACTGCTTTATCAACAGCAGCTTGAATAAGCCATATCCTTTAATACTAAAGTAATCTAAATGGAATAATAATATTCATCCTCCCAATAAATATTCTTAGCTGGTTGGAGGTTTATCATTACATCTGGAAGAATATTAGAACCTCCATTTAGATTAAGCTTGCATAACGAGAATGTGCAAAGCTTTCATAATTTTATCTCCATTTGTTTTATCATTCATATGGGCAATATATTTATAACATGTCATATTACATCATAGGAAAATTCAAAAGCCTTTGGTCTGTATCAGACAATTATCTACTCAAATGTTAATGCACTTTTTGAGGGAATTACACCTCTCTGACCAACCTGACACTTAGGTTTCCGGTAATAAATCATAAAACACATTATCCCAGCACGGTGCTTGAGATGTTTGTTATTAAAGATTTAATATTTTTAAGCTAGGAAGTGAAAACTGCACAAAAAGTCTGAGGTCAGGTTTTTGACACACTTGTGTTCACTCAACTCTCTTATACTTTGTACTACCAAATTTTTTCAGACCCTGGACCTGTTCCTGGGCCAGGTCCTTTATTTAAGTAGAGAATCCTTACTGTTTCAAATGGTCTCATTGTTGGCTACAGCACTGTGCCCTTGAGTAATAATAATCTATCTGAGTTTAAAAAAAATAAAAAATAAAAAATAAATTAAAAAAAAAATATATAGGCCCATTCATTATAAACATGCCTGTACCATAAACTAGGTATGCAATTAAGGCTTGGAGTGAATAGGACATTTGCCTAAGTAGGGATATCAGGATTTGGCCCAGAGATCTCTAAAACAGGGAAAAAAAAGAGAAATCCTGTCACTTCTACCTAGTAGCAACTCATCCTTCATATTATGCTTATGGTCTGTATCATGCAAATGTGAGTGTTTGATTGTGTTGTGGTTCCCCACTTTAGGGAGAGCAGTGTCATTCACTGAGCCTTTCCCTGTGGATCTGAAAGAAGAAATTTGCCACGTGTGTGCAAGCTCATTTTCTGAACCTGGGAAAAGAAGCATATCCTTGCTGCTTCTGCTACTTTTCTGGTCCACCAAAAAAACAAAGGAAAAGAGCAATACTTAAAGGGGTGCATTGTATCATTATTGATTCTCAGCCTAAGGAAAAGAAATAATATTACAGAAGAACACCAATGGGGATCCTATATCTTCTATCTCCTCAGAAATAAATAAATAAGTAAGTAAACAAAAACCTGTGATAAAAGAGTAAGAAGCAGAGCTAGTAGCAGACTCTTCAGTTTCAGGTTCAGTAAATGAACCAGAGGAGCCTGCAGTTACTGTGCACAGAGCAGTGACTGTGATGACTAAGAAGTTTTTCTGTTTTTCTTCTTTTCTCACACATTGTGTGTGAGAATGAGACAGCTTTATTATAGTCTAATAATTTGAGGCAATGAGTGGCCTAGGGTGATGACACTTCATAGATAAAGAGCACGGGCACACAAAAGAAAATCTGTGAAATACGGATATGACAAGATTTTGGAGAAGGTTCTGTTATGGAGAGTGTTTTTTCTTTTATAAAAGGATGCATCTATTCACATCCCATGGTGCAGTCAGAATGCTATTAGCAATCTCACTGTGCTATTTTTCTTACTGGTTGTACTTAGAGTTCAGTAGCCTAGAGAGATACTCAACATTTTATGAACTGGTTCAGTACATTGGAAATTCTAATAATGTGAGCAATCTTCAGGGACATTGCTTAAAATCAGACATAGGCTGCTGCGTTCATCTGGTGGTGTTATTTAGCATAGCTTCTTTGACTTCAGCTCTGCTAGTTCACGCTGAGGATCTGGCCCAAATGGTTAACATGGCGAACAGAGCTGTGCTCGTCGGTTCTAGAACTGTGTTTATTTTTATGATAAATATGGGTTGTACTCTCAATTGCTGTGCATTTAAGGATTACAATGTAATGAACTAGAAAAGAGAAAGACCCCCCCCCAAACTGTAGAGATGGGGTAGGACTCCCTTCCTACATACATGCCTCAATGTTGCAGAGAGTAGATTTCACCAAAGACAAGCTAATGTAAAAGTGAAAGCAGAATAATGACTTCTTTTAAAAAGCTGTGTGTAGGAGTTAAATACCTTCACAAACAAGCTATTTGTCTGGAGAACACTTCACCTTTTTTTTAATTTTTATTTTTTTTTGCTGATGTATTGCCCGCTGGTACAGCATGGCAGCCTAATCACACTGCAGTCATCTCACACTGCTTGACTGACTCTCAATTGCTTTGCTCGCCCTGGTCTACATGAAATTGCAGACTGTAGTGCTAATAAAAGGACTTATTACTGCTTATCACAACTTGATGAAGATCTAGAAACTGTGAAAACATTTGTATTGATCACAAATGCCCCTTTTACCGTCTGAAAGATTTTTCAGACAGTGCTACCTGCCAGATAATCCAGGCAGGCTCTTAGCTACCCAATACTATAATTGTTTATATAAAATATAAAGGGGATTAAGAAAAACAGCTCTAAAGGCACATGGGGAGAAGGTGTTTGTGCGTATATTGTTGTGATATACCATGATGAACTGTTCTGATAGAGCTTCTTGGAAATTGGATAGGAAAAAGGAAAAAAGTATCATACCTTTTGCAAAACAGTGGAAGCCAACCTTCACTGACTCCTTCTCAGTTGGAGTACAGTCTTTCCTACATTTTAGTACTGGGTCAACAGAATAGCATATAGATTCCTCTCCATCAATAATAGGATATCGCTCCAGGTTCACATAATGGTGTTCCAGGTTGCAGTCTAAGAGAAAAAAGATAGTATTTAACATAATAGATCTAAAGCAGCACCTTCCTTTCCTTACATCACTATGCAGTTATATTGTCTTCTCAGCTTTGATTAAGCTCAGCTTCTCAATGTCTTGTCTTTGCAGAGTAAGGCAATATCAGGACCATAAATAGTTGGGGGAGGGAAACTGATTTTGAAACAGATTCATAGATTCATAGATGTTAGGATCGGAAGGGACCTCAGTAGGTCATTAAGTCCAACCCCCTGCCCTGGGCAGGAAAGAGCACTGGGGTCAGACAACTAGGTGCTTGTCCAGTCTCCTCTTAAAGATCCTCAGGGTAGGGGAGAGCACCACCTCCCTAGGAAGCCCATTCCAGATTCTGGCAACCCTCACTGTGAAGTTCTTTCTAATGTCCAACCTAAATCTGCTCTCTGTCAATTTGTGGCCAGTGTTCCCAGTTACTCCAGGTGGAGCCCTAGTAAGTAGAGCATCTCCTATACCCTGCTGCCCTCCCCTGATGAATTTATAGGCAGCCACAAGATCAGTGCTCATCGTTGTCTTGTGAAGGCTGAAGAGATCTAGGTCCCTCAATTAAACAAAAAATGGCAGTTTTGTTTAAAATCTGAGTTCATAATGTGATGCAAATGAAATCCTGTATATTGTTAATTCAAGAAATGCATGGTCCAATGAAAATAGCCACTTGCTCAGACTATTAAGGGCTATTAAGAACAGACAGTCTATTGCTAGGCTTGGCAGGATCCGATTTTTATAGGTAAACATCGATAAACGGCAGGTTCACCTCGCAATGAAGGGCTGATGAAAATATATTTCCATTGTTAATAATTGAAAAGAGAGGGGAAGAAGAGAGTCACAAGCCTGTCTCTTCAAAGAGGAAGACAGTGGGCAGCATGCTTGGAAGCCGGGCTAGAGAGAGATAACAGACCACGTACACCCCTGCCCAACGGGGGAGGGGGGAGAAAGAGTATTTGAGCTGGACCAGAATCAGTGGCTGTGGAGGAAGGTGTGTGAAGCAGCAGCAAGGAGCTCTTTACACCTGAGTGGGACAACTCAGCTGCAGGCAACTGGGGAGAGACTGTAAAAAGAGGTGAAGCAGCCTACTGGTGAGACTGGTACACTGAAAGACTCCAGTTAGAAGGGATAAAAGTTCTGTTTTCTTGGCTTTTTGTTGTTGTTTTTGCCATCCCAGGGGCGGAAGATCTTTATGTTGTTAATTTAATTCAAATTGATTAAAATGGAAATAAATGCTTAAAAATAAACATTGATATTATCTGTCAAAATTATGAAAAAAAAAATCAAATTTTGCCAAGCCTATCGAGGAAACATTATTGTTAGTGAGCGGGGGGTTTCTATACAAATTTCAATGTTAGTGTGTTTGATTGAATGATTTTTTAATGCTGCAATTATTAGCACTACAACGTATCATTAGAATTAAAAGGATTCCATATCTGACTTTGATTCCTGACACATATATGGGTACAATTCACACAGCCATTGAAATCTATGAAAAAAACGGTTTTATGCTAAGTGTAAATGAACAGTATTGTGCTGTTGGAGATCAACATTATTATTATTCTAAGTGTGCGCAAGGGAAAAAGCTTCTACCTTGAGAATATTTGCAAACTTTCTGATGGGTCTTAACCACAGATGATCAGTTGTTCTATGTGCACCAACAGAAGATCTGGCCCAATTTATTAACATTCACTCTGTGCTGTATTTATAGAGCCAGTAGTTTGTTTGATTAGATAAAGTCTAGTGAGAGGAATCTGATCCCGCTTTGCTGGAAATCAGTGGCAGAACTCCTGCTAAGTTCAATGGCAGCAAGATTGGGCCTGATTTTGCCACTTACAAAAAAAAACAACCGAAAAAAAAACCTACTCAGCATGAGAAAGGGTGGCAGAACCAAGTCTTTAATATTAAATTGAGTACAAGACGCTGACATCTTCACCTGAATATAAATCTCCTCTTTCCCCTGGGAGCATCTAGATACCTGATTAGCTAGATTAAAAATGAATGCAAATTGTTATTGTCTTACCTATTTTCAAACAAAAGTGGCTTTTTATTATTTTTTCACTTTTAAAATGGTATGGTTAAAATAAAATACAAACATTTTTCTCCTTTAAGGAACAACTGTTTTCAAGTCTACTAACCTCCAGAACAGGCCTCTTCTACCAGTATCCAGGAATGGACAAAAGCAGAACAGCTGTGTGCTAGCCTATGATTTGGCAAGAGGAGATCATTTTGCTTCTCTCCATCATTGTTTCCACAGATACCACAGGTCTTGCCTTTTAGCCATGAAGCAACAGTGACCTATGAAGAGATAAAAGACCTCAACATCCCATCACAATGCCAAGGTATAAGCATGGGCAACTAGTGCCTCCTAAGTCTGAGGAGGCACCAGATCACTGACAGGGGAGGGTG